CCTGTGTCCAGTTGCACTTGCTGTGAAACTCTCAATCCAGAGTGTTTCCGAATGCTGGTCTTTGTTGGGGTGGGACCCGTGGAGCCAGATCACCTGGCTCCCTGTTTCAGCCCCCTTTTTTTTTTCAGTTGAATCGGTGGCTCTGTCTCCCAGGTGTTCCAGGCACCAGTTGAAACGGCTGCCCAGATTTGTGTGAGTTTTTGTGCAGAGACCCACTGCACCAGCTGAAACAGCCATGCTGGAAACTCATGGCGCTTTTCAGCCCGGGAATCTCCTGGTCTCTGGGCAGTAATAGCTCATTTGGAAATGTGGTGATCACTCACTCTCTGCGTTGTTCTCGCTGGGGACTGCACTCCAGAGCTGTTCTTATTCGGCCATCTTGGATCCCTCCGCTTGGCTTTTTCAACAACCTCGCTTTTATTCTTCCTTCATATTTATCTTGAATGTTGTGGTCAGATGTGGTTTAGGGGTAGTTTATGTGGTTTAAGTCTCCATTGGGAGCAGAATGAATTTCATAGAATACTATTAATAGTGAAATTTTGGACAAGGAGAAAAAAATCCTAGCTTAAATGTATTGAACAGGCAATCTCAATTTAGTCATGATGCTACTCTAACTTGTGCTAGTCCAGCTTCATAAAGATAAACTGCAACATCATTATCAAATGTTCAAGAGCCATTTAACAATTCATAATTAAGAGGTTGTATCTGAGCTAGTGTTTTCTGAATCCAGAGCTCATCTAATTTGTGAGCTACTCACAAATGATAGCCTTTAGTGATTTTCAGGTACCACAAGTGGAAGAGTATGTTTTTCTCTTTACGTGCCAAAGCACTTTTCACTTTAGAAGTATGAGGTATTACAAAATAAATAAGCACACACTCCCAAGGGAAGGCAGTGTCATCCAGTATATATTGTTGCCCTTCCTTTTATTCAAAGACGTCACTACTGATCTCATCCACTCTTATGGGGAGCAAAGACTAAATCTTCAACCAAAAGTCCTTTCTATATGACATACATACAAACCGTTTTTTGATTTGTGTCTGCAGCTGCTACATGTAGAGCCTGTTACTGTCTGTATTTCTGTGTTTGACTTGTGGTCAGCTGAAAGCATTTGCTCAAAAAGAGTTTCTAAATTCCATATTGTTGCATTCCAAGCTGGTCTCTGCTGCTGTTTTCCCCAGCCACCCACAGCTATGTTAATGTAATTTGAAACTATGCTTTAATACATCCTTTGGAGTATTTATTATGCCACCCCTGCTTGGGGTTATGCCGTAAAGCTACCATACCAAAGATACTTGGGTTTCCTTCTGCCATTGCATCTCTACACATGTCAGCAAGGAACAGTGATTTAATGCTGATAGACCAGCTGACTTCCAGAATCTCAGTAGTAGTCATCCCCTCTTTCCATTTTACATTAAGCACGACTCTGATTCACAGTAAAACAGTTCAACAAGGTAGATGTGATGTCTGTGCTGGGTGTAAATTTCAAAGTAATACAAAAGCTGAACCCAACTTATATTTTCCGTTAATGAGGATCAATTCAGTAAGCTTTTAGTTTTTCAGCTCTGTTCTGGATGTTAGGAATCAAGCTGAACCTAGGAAACAAAAGGTCAGGACAGTGGTCCATTTTCCCCCTGTGCATTAATAGTTTTGTGTTTCTAATAACTCATCTTGCTCTTTGATGCATACCTTAAGTACATTTCATCCTGTCCAGAGGATAAGTCCACACTGGTTCTGGATCCAGAAATATACTTGCCATTGGGGAGCTTACTACCTATGAGGGAAGAAAAATTGCTATTAAGATATATAAAGCATTATTTGATAAATGTTAGGGGATCTGTTCTGCTCCAAAATGGGATCTAAGAAAAGCCAGAGATTGAACTAGTCTGTAGTACAATTTCACACTGGTGCCATTCCATGATAATCTTCCCAAGTAAAAATACTTTTTTTATTTTCCTTTCTGCTTTGTAATTGCTTGCATTTTGGGGCAGTAATTTTTAAGTCAAACTGCCTAGGAAGCAGAATTCAGTGACTGCTTCTAGCTCTATGTGATGAAAAAATGTTGGTTGTGTTTAGCTTCCATGCTTAGTCTTACTCCACAATTTCAGTCGTCCTCTGACATATCTACAAGACATGGTAATCCCTGGCACTCACATCAGAGATGTCCAAGATGATCGTTTCATTTGGCATTTGGTCTGATTGCTACCACCTCCACCCCACTGGTGACAGCTCCCACAGGATGCTGTGATCAGTGTTGAATGTCCCCATTTTCTCACTCCCAGGAGTTGACACACTCTGTTCAGCAACCAGCACATACTATGTTTCTGTTCTTGTCACACTGTTTTTGAAACTTTACTATCTTCTATTATGTAGTGCTATCACTGCCACAAAGATATACAAGATTATTTTTATGTTGTTTGTCTATGTATATTAAAGACAGTTTCTAGTTCAGTGCCTTCCACATGGTAAGCACTCAGTGTTTGTTCAGACAACAACACCGTGAACGACCTTCCAGAGCTTTTGTTGACAATCACAGCATGTCAAGTTAAGGGTTCTTATGATTAAAAGTGCATTCAATGCCATCTTTTGTATTTATTTAATATCTATGACATATCCATCATGGATATGTACCAATGAAGCAACTCTGTTTCACTCATTGGTGCCAGGATGCTCACATCTTGCTATATTGAAATCACTTAGAGATTTGTTGACTGTTTCAGGGCATAAATGATTTAATTTATTTGAAGGTCCCTGCTGATTGCTCATGGATGATGATGGTGACGGCAGTCGTTGCAATAAGAAAAATAGATTTTATATTCAACAACATTGAAAGAGAAATCATTTTGAAAAATAATAGGTGATTTGCTGATTTTAAAGAGCCTGGTATGTACCTGCCTCCTCTTGAGGGACATGAAGTACCAATTTCATAAATAGATTAGCTCTGGGAATGATAGAAGAAAAGGTGAAAAAACACTAGCTATACAAGACCCTAATTTTACCCAGAAGAAAAAAGAGGGCTTTGCTTCTTTAGTCTAAAGGTAATGAACTGGTTGATAAATGAAAAATACAGCTGTTTCTCAAAGTTTAGTTCAAGGATTGGGTGCATCAGAATCCCCTAGTGAGCAAGTTGAAAAGTCAGATTCTAGGGTCCCACTTCAAACTGACTCTAAATTTGGGAAGGGGAAGGCCTGGGATTCTGCATTTTGACACTCTTGCTTAGTGATTATGATGTACACTGAAGTTTGAGAACCACTGACCTATAGGGTATCTCATTCTTAGGATCCCTTTGATTTGATTCCTGCGAGTCGTGTATTGAATCTTTAGTGTACGTCTCCATGATGGATCCCAAAAACTAGACCCAATTAGAGTCAAAAAAATCTTGGCTTTAAGGAATGGATTGGTGATAGATAGTCCGCTCTCTGGTTTAAGTTTGTCCCTTCCAAAATGTAGGTGTTGCCAATATGGTGATATTAAGAGGTGAGGCCATTAGATGTGATTAGGCCATTAGGGCTCCTGCCTTGTGAATAAGATTAAGGCCTTTTAAAAAGAGGCTTCATGCAGTATTCAGCTCTCTCTCCCTTCTGCCTTCCATCATGTGAGTACACAGTGTTCCTCTCCTCTAGAGAATGCAACAACAAGATGCCATCTTGGAAGCAGAGAGCAGCCCTCACTTCATAATCAAACCTGTTGGCACCTTGTTCTTGGAATTTCTAGCCCCCAGAACTGTGAGAAAATAAATTTATCTTCTTTATAAGATACTGAATTTCAGGTATTTCATTAAAACAACATGAACAAAGACAATGTAATTATTCTTTCAACAGAGTGAGATTTATTAGGGTCTATTATGCACCAGGCCCAGGGCTAGGCACTAGCTATACAAAAATGGATGCATGACCCCTTCCCTAAAGAGACTTATGAGTATTTTCTATGAATTATCTAGTACAATCAAGGACATTAGCCATGAAATAGAAAATGAATTAAATTTATTCTATGTCATTGTACAAAAAATAATTTTGTGGGTTTAGACATATAAAAAATATGTTTGTAGCAGTATCTGGAGAGTCACTAGCAATAATGGATGTATCCCCCATGTCTCACTGTTAACAAATTGTTTCCAGCTGATATCCCTGTAATCTGCAGGTGCTGTTTACCATGTAATTTTATCATAGGAAACAAGGGTGTAATCACTTAATAAAGTGTAAAGAATTAGATTTTTTTCCCCTTGAGCAAAATGCCTGACTGTGGCCAACATTCCTGATGCCTCCTACCTTGTGCTGTAGGAAAACAATATTCTAAAAGAGAAGGCTGTTTTGTTCACATCCTGCAACTTGCCTCTGGAGGCTATGCTAATGAATGCAAAACTCAAGCTAGAATTCCAGACATTTTGTATGAGCAGACACTGATTTTTGTCTTTACCATTATACAGAGGATAGTTTTCCCTTCTACCTCTGAGATACAAAAAAGGGATAGGGAATCTCTCATTTTAAACAGTGTTTTTGTGTTGTTTTCTTCTGATTTTTATTGAACAAATAGAAACTATGTATATTAGTCCATTTTCATGCTGCTGGTAAAGACATAACTGAGACTGGGCAATTTACAAAAGAAAGGGGTTTAACTGGACTTACACTTTCACGTGACTGGGGAAGCCTCACAATCATGGCAGAAGGCAAGGAGGAGCAAGTCACGTTTTACATGGATGGCAGCAGGCAAAGAGAGAGAGCTTGTGCAGGTGAATTACTCTTTATAAAACCATCAGATTTCATGAGACTTATTCACTATCATGAGAACTGTAGGGAAAGAATTGCCCCCAGGATTCAGTTGCCTCCCATAGGTTCCCTCCCACAACACATGAGAATTCAAGATGAGATTTGAGTGGGGACACAGCCAAACCATATAACTATGTTCAAGGCATTTTCATATACAGGCAGGCAGTTCTCTTCATGAACACTTAACTTATGAATGTCCCACATTCATCAACAACCTCTCTTGAGGGACTTTGAACTACTCTTACTACTCATGGAAGGTGGAGTTGTTTCTGCTGTCTGCAGAAGTTTGTTTCTCCCTCAACCCTCCTCTTCTGGGGGCTCGAGTTCTCACAAGCTCCTATTAGACCCTTAGAATAGTTAATACATGAGCCCTTTTCCTACTGCCACCACTAGGACACAGGAAGGTGCTAGAGCCCCTGGCAGAACTCCCATAGGAGCTGAGCCCATGAGGGAGCACAACAAGTATGAGGGAATCTCTGGAATTGTAATTGGTAATGGTGGGGAGGTTCTTCCTTTGCATTTCAAAAATCTCTTTTCCTAGAAATAGCATTATGCTTAATAACCTACCCATGTAGAACTTGGGTATATGACAAATTCACCTATCTAGACCACAGCCAGAAATCAAGTGGTAAACAAATGGCTTCTAAGCCACTGGAGAATATGCATCTGACTTATTGGAAAAGCCATTCAAAACCACACTCATTGCCCATTTATTTTATCTGTACATGAGTCTAATTAGTTTTAACTAAATGTCAAGCCTGTAGCAGATTATAAGCAGCAAATCTGAAGGGACTGGGAAAGATGTTACAGGTAGGTAAAGTGAAATCTGATAGTTGACAGTAAGGTAAAAGATGAAATAACATTAAAAAGAAGTTTAAGCACTCAGAAAACAATTACAATGAAACAGTACTTCACATCTACCAGAATGGTGGATTAATTAAAAATACTGACAGTACCAAGTGTTGGTGCAGATGCAGAGCACTGGGACTCATACATTGTTGGTAAGCATTTAAAATGGTACAGTCACTCTGGAAAATAGTTTGGCAGTTTCTTACAACAAATATCATATAACCCAGAGGTTCTACTCCTAGGTGTTTAACCAAGAAACATGAAAACATAGGTCTACACAAAGACTTGTACATTAATGTTCATATTAGCTTTATTTATAATAGCCCCAAACTAGAAACAACACAAATGTCCATCAATGGCAGAATTCATAGAAAAAATGTGATAGAGCCATACAGTGAAATACTACTACTCAGCATTAAGAAGGAATGAACTAGTGATACATCCAACAACATGGATGAATCTCACTGACATTATGTTGAATGAAAATTCCTATTCATTCATACATATGAAAAATTATAATGGATGGTTCTAGTCTAGAACAGGAAAAACTAAGCTACTATGATGGAAATCAGAGTAGTAGTTGTCTCAGGGTCGGGGGCACTGGAGAATGACTGGAAGGGGCCCAAGGGAAAATTTTAGGAGGTGATAGAAATCTCGATTTATCTTGATTTGGGTGGTGGTTACAAAAGTGTGTGCATTTGTCAAATCTCTTAGACCAGTTTGCTTAAAATTTGTGCATTTTATTGTATGTAAATTATATTTCAAATTTTTATAAGGTACAAAAATTTCAAAAGGGAAAACTCATTCAGAAGATCCCCTGCTGCAAGATCTAAGACTAAATTCCTTAACATGATCTGGCTCTTATTTAATACTCCTTGGCTTATTTCTCACCATTCCTTCTCACCTCCTACCACTTATTCTAAGCTACTTGTAGTTCCAAAAATTGTTATTCTTTCTTTTTCCTCTGAACCTTTAAACACAGTGCTCCCTTTCCCTGGAATTCCTTTTTCATTTTCCATTTATCACTAAATCCTTGACATCTTTTAGGATTCACAGAGGTAGCACCTCCTCCAAGAAGACTTGTCCACTTTCAGTTTGTGTTAGATGCATGCCCTCTTGCTCCCAGAGAACTTGAAGCTCCTCTCTATCAAGGCATGTATTGCTCTATAATTGTGATCATTAAAAAACCCTCAAAACCATAGTGCACTGAGGTCATTTAATGTACAGGAAAATAGTAGTCCTCACGTATTCAGTAAGCCCTGAATTAAATCACATATTATAAACTAATTTCTTTTTTATTGCATTATATTAGGCCCTATCATGTACTTTAATATTCACAGACACTGAAGTAAATACTGTTATTACTGGGGTTTTTTTTTTTTTTGTTTTTTAGCTTTTAAGTTCAGGGGTACATGTGCAGGATGTGCAAGTTTGTTACATAGGTAAATGTGTATCCTGGGCATTTGTTATACAGATTATTTCATCACCCAGGTATTAAGCCTAGTATCCATTTGTTATTTTTCCTGATCCTCTCCCTCCTCCCAACTTCTACCCTCCAATAGGCCCCAGTGTGTGTTGCCCGTACCATGCATCCATGTGTTCCCATCACTTAGCTCCCACTTATAAGTGAAAACATGCCATATTTTGGTGTTCTGTTCCTGCATTCGTTTGCTAAGGATAATGACCTCCAGCTCCATCCATGTACCTACAAAGGACATGATCTCATTCTTTTCTATGGCTGCATAGCTGAAGCAAGTTTCAGCACTCAAAGTTATCAAGAAAACTCTTCTATCCAAGATGATTTGTAGAGTTGCAAATGATTGAGATTTTATTATAAACAGCAGTTTAGTTTTATACTATTATTAGTACATTAGCTTATTTATATTGTGAGTTAAGTAACTTTCTGTGGGCTTATCAGGAAAATTAGCCAGACTTTATTATGTTGACTGTATGAGAAAATGCATTTTTATATTCCAATCAAGTAACTCAAAAATACTACTCAGTTGAATGATGTGAAATTGTTGATTGATATTCAACCATTTTTGACAAAAATGGCAGTTTATCTTGAAATGCAATCCTGTTGACAAGATAGAAATTAACCTGCACATTGATTTACCAATTTTATATTTAATACATTAATGTATCCTTCAAGACACTAATCCTACACCTTAAGGATATTGAGTAAATCACAGAATTTTTAAGAAAGTTTGTGTAGAATTAGGGCTTTCTTGAGTCAAACCCATTTTTTTTCACTTAATCAGAGATGGAGCAGACATTAGGACTCTGGAATTGTTTATTTTTTTAACTGATAATAGAATGAAAATGCAGATTCATTTGTTCTTTTTAGACCCCAAATTATCTAACCATTCTATTTTGAAGATTAAGTCAATAATAATAGTAATAGCAAACATTTATTAAGTGCATACTACATGCTAAGTACTGTTCTAACTCTACAACTGTTTTGTGAGCAGAGTACTATTATTATCCCTATTTACAGATGAGGAAACTAAAGCTTAAGTAAATTGTTTAAGGTTACACAGCTAGTAAGTGGCAGAGTTGGCATTAGAATCACTCAATCCTACTACTGTGTTTACTGTTTACCTCAAGCATGTGGTTTTACCACAATAAAGCACTAATGCTAAAAGATTATAATTTGATTCAGCAAGTATATATTTAAGCTATGATTATTAGTAAAGCCAGACCCATTCGCATATGAAACGTATTATATTACTATGAAAGATCATTATAAGACATTAGAGGACCAAGTACCAAAATTAGTCTTACAGACCACAAGTGCTATAGAAAACTTGGAAGGGGAGAAAGTAATTGTGTGCTTTGTCATGATTAACTCCCAGAACAGCATTGACATAAATGATACCTCAATATTGGATGTACAGCATTTTGGGAACAAACCAAAATTATATCACAAATAGGAATATGGCAAAATCATGGATGTATAATAATGAATTCCAATAGGGAGTAGTAACTCAAGGTTTTCTTTTTTTGAGATAGAGTTTTGCTCTTGTTTCCCAGGCTGGAGTACAGTGGTGCAATCTTGGCTCACTGCAACCTCCACCTCATGGATTCAGGTGATTCTCCTGCCTCAGCCTCCCAAGTAGCTGGGATTACAGGCACCTACCACCACACCTGGCTAATTTTGTATTTTTAGTAGAGATGGGGTTTCACCATGCTGGTCAGGCTGGTTTCGAACTCCAGACCTCAGGTGATCCACCCACCTTGGCCTCCCAAAGTGCTGGGATTACAGGCATGAGCCACTATGTGGCTCAAGGTTTTCTGTTCAGTTTTCTGTTAAACTCAAATTCTGAGTGGGCATCATCAGTATTTGCAGTAGCTAGAAATTTGTGGCTGGGCTCTGTGAACCCAGAAATATATGAAGAAATGGGACCTTATGGATTACTTATTAGATATTCAGGGCAGAAGAAATGGGATTCAGAAATTAACCAAAATGCCATGCCTGCATGAATGGAAAAATAATTGCATCAAAAATAAAATGATTTGTACAGTGGAGGAGAGGATGGGCTCAGGCTTTAGACACATCAAACTTAAGATACAGGTGGACTGTCTGTGGAAAGCTAGTTTTTTATATTGGCTATGACTGACTGGGGTCCACTGTGACTAATCTACTTGTTATTTTTACAGATGGCCCTATTGAATTTCTTCTTCCCTGATGAAAAGCCATACTCTGAAGAGGAAAGTAGGCGTGTTCGCCGCAATAAAAGAAGCAAAAGCAATGAAGGAGCAGATGGTAAGTCTACTTGGGTGATCCTTTATCACTTCTGAGATATATGTTAGTAAAAGTATTCTTTTAAGAATTACCTTCTCGGCAGGACGCAGTGGCTCACACTTGTAATCTGAGCATTTTGGGAGGCTGAGGCAGGCAGATCACTTGAGGTCAGGAGTTCAAAACCAGCTTGGCGAACATGGTGAAACCCTGTCTCTACTAAAAATACAAAAATAATTAGCCAGGCAGGGTGGCAGGCACCTGTAGTCTCAGCAGTTTGGGAGGCTGAGGCAGGAGAATCACTTGAACCCAGGATGTGGAGGTTGCAGTGAGCTGAGATTGTGCCACGGCACTCCAGCCTGGGTGACAGAGCGAGACTCCATCTCAAAAGAATAAAAAAAGAACTACCTTCTCAATAGTGCCTCATCATCTTATATATTATGCACAGACCCAAGGTCATAGACTATTTCTGCAACCTAACCTACCTATCAATCCTTTAACATAGAACTAACTATACAAGGATCCTCCCTCCTCCAACTCCAGATGCCTTCAGTCCTTTCTCAGTATGTCTGAGAGCCATAGTAGCATTTGCATCTCTCAAGATCACCCTGTGTAAGGACGTCATCTCTCCCGGAGATGTCCCACATCTATTAAGGTCACCGAGAGGACTTGGTCCTATTCTTGGAATTGACAGTGTTATACCCTGCTAGCACTTACATGATGTGTTAATTCCAATGATAACTTTATCAATGTTTGTATCCACTACCATGCCCAAATCTGAACTAGAGCTTCTAGAACTAGTTTATAGGTTTCTTGAGGGCAGAGATTCATTTCTCTTTGTAGAACCCTAGAATCTAGCCTAGTCTCTGGAACATTATTGGTATTTGTTATATAAGTTGATGATGTTGACTCCCCCTTCAGCTAGGCAATGATGTATCAATGGAAACCATCCCTGTTCTGAGTGTAATAGCTCTGAGTTAACTAGCAATGCATTCTGTGGGGCATGACAAAATGTTAAGCTAGCTTCTGGGCAGGGTCTTTGAATTTCTCTGATATTTCAGCATCACTCTGTCAACTGACATAATGTTACCCCTTCGGGCACAGGAGTTTGTAAAATACATATCTCTGGGCAGCTACAAAGGCATCTGGATTCAAAGATAGCATGTGTCTGGCTACATATGCCAATAATATGTGTCTGGAGGGTTACAAAGCAACATGACTTTATTAAGATGAAAATGAGGCCTGGCGTGGTGGCTCATGCCTGTAATCCCAGCACTTTGGGAGGCCGAGGCAGGTGGATCATCTGAGGTCAGAAGTTCGAGACCAGCCTGACCAACATGGAGAAACCCCGTCTCTACTAAAAACACAAAATTAGCCAGGTGTGGTGGCGCATGTCTATAATCCCAGCTACTTGGGAGGCTGAGGCAGGAGAATTGCTTGAACCCGGAGGCAGAGGTTGCAGTGAGCCAAGATCGCACCATTGCACTCCAGCCTGGGCAGCAAGAGCAAAACTCCATCTCAAAAAAAAAAAAATGAAAATGATATTTTAAAACTGACATTGGTTGATGTGAGTAAGGGCCAATGATGGAAGCAGTTTTAGAAGGTGGTAGCTATTAAAGAGATGGAGCCAGGACTTTGTCAGTAGGGGTAAGAAGAAGTAGAACTGATTGAAATCTGAGACAGAGCTCAGAACAAGGAACCCATAATAATATTTAAGAAAAAAAAAGAGGCATAGCAATAAGATAGGGTTTTCTAGTCAGTGGAGGTGGCAGCAGCATTGAGCCTTTGAATGGAGAACTGGACCAGTGGGGCCATTCTCTACAATTGATGACCAATTCAAGCCTAAGAAATGCAGTCCATGAAGTTATTATTCACCTACTACTTGTAGCCAGTTTCCTGGAAGTCTTCTGGCTATATGGAAGCAGGAAGCTGAGAAGCATGGTCCCTTTCCTCTCCTAATCATCTCACCCTCTGATGCATGTAAGTCTCTCCACCTTTGGCTTTTCCCCTGAGGCTACTCCCACTACCATCAAACTTTTCACAATCCCTGGTTGCTAAGGAAGAGAGGAGACAAGAGGTAAGAGCAATATCACCTTCAATACTGGACATGGTCTTCCCTCCCTCTCCAAGTGGAAAGTTTAATGTCTTCTAAGGTTTACCTCTTCATCTAACCTCCCAAGTTTTCTCTTAATAAGATAATTTCTTCCCTTCCCCAAAACTACTTTATCCAAATCTGGCTACCAACATCTCTGATACTCATCTTCCTTACAACGTTCATTCTGTCCTGATACAAAACGGTTTTCTCTCTGGTCAAGGTCAAATCCTCTCTTACTAATTTTTAGCACTTCTTGTCTACTTCCCTCCTGATCTGATACTCTAGTCAGTCACTAGACTCTAGTCTTTTGGTGCCAATGCCAAATTTCTCATGCAATCCATGCATTTTTCTTTAATCAGCATAGCTTGGAGGAATCCAAGAGCCCCTTAGAGTTACAAGTATAGAATGCCTGGGGGTCCTCTCAAATTTTATTAGATTTCCAATCTTTCACCCGGTGGTCTATAGAACCATTTCGGTGCTCCAATGAGTTACAGAGTGATAAGTCAATCCAAATCTCCTTTTCCGTTGAACCATTCTTGTCACTCTGCTGAGCATATACTAAATTTATTCAATACACTCATCAAATATTTACTAAGTAAATACAGCAGTTTATATAATACTTGAATAAAAATTCAATAAAGATATTTGCATTTTTTTTTATATCCCCACTGCCTAGAAACAGACTTGGCAGCTAGTAGACCCTCAATAAATATTTCCTGTTGCCCTCAAAGTGATTTACTTCCAGCATAAAGATACAGACAATAAATAAAGTTGGTTAAATTTGATAAGTTGTTTGAAGAAAAATATAGCAGAGCAGCAGGGAGACAGAGTGATGGGGTATGCTGTAAGGTGATCAAGGAAGCTATCTCTGATAAGGGAACATTTGGGAAGAGACTTTAATGAAATGAAGCATGAGTTATGAGAATGTCTAGGGAAAAAAGAAACAGAAAATTCAAAGGCTCTGAAGCAGAAGAATGTTTGGTATGTTCCAGAAAGATCAGTGTGGCTGGGAGCAGAGTAAGAAGAAGAAGAGGGAAGGAGATGAGGTCAGAAAGCAAAATCCAATCTAGAGCCTTGTTGGCCAAGGTAAGGACTCTGGCTTTTATTCTGCATGAGATGGGGGACCATTGGAGGATTTTGAGCAGAGGAATGATTGGATCTGATATATGTTTTAACAGCATTCCTCTGGCTGCTGTATTGAAAATAGGTGCAGGAAGAAAAGATACAAGCAGGAAGAATCTTTAGGAGAGTATTACAATAATCCAGGCAAGAGATAATGGTGGCTTAGACCAGGATGCAAGCAGTGTGGGTGGAGAGAAGTGATCAGATTCTAGAGAGATTTTGAAGGAATGGCTGAAGGATTTTCAGATTGATTTGATAAGGGGTGTGACAGACAGAGAAGAAGCATCAATGATCCCAGGGTTTTGGACTTAAGGAACTAAACAAGTAGAATTGTCATTTCTGAGATGGGGAAAAAAGGAGGAGAAGCAGTGTAGAGGAATACGGGGAAAGGATTTAGTTAGGCTTGTTAAATTTGAGATACCTATTGGAGGCCAAGTGGATATATAAGCCTACACTATACATCACTGTGTATCATGACAATGAATGAGATGACTCTCTTTTGTACAAATAAAGGACTTCTTATTGAAG